GGTGTCTGGGTTAAAGCGGAGGTCGGGGAGCAGATAGTCTGAAGACTGCCTGACTATCCCCCAATGGAGGGGCCCCCTCTCTGGGACGACAGGAGCAGCTGCAGGTTCCTGTAGACGCCGCCACGGGGCAGGACGCTGGGCCACGGCCTTGAGCACAGACAGGAAATGAGCTCAGACCGCTTTTGAGTCAGAGCTGTAGCCTGCACGCCCTTGGATGGCCCGAAGGCGCAGAGCCGGGCGGGGGCCACAGGGCGGCGGGTGCAGGGGGCCGGTACCTGACTCCCGGGTCCTGCCCACCACCGTGGGACTCCAGGGCCCGCTCCCAATGGCGTTGAAGGCCTGGACCTGGACACGGTACTCTGTCCACTCCTCCAGATCCTCAATGGTGTATTCCCGTTCCACGCGGTCCTGGACCACATGGCTGAGTGTCTTGCCGTGGCCATCGCAGCGGCTATACTTGATCCGGTAGCCAACCGACTCTGGGCTTCCGTTGTACTCCATCTCCGGGAGAGGCTGCAGAGAGGCCAGGCCCCCCGTGAGGGAAGAGCTGCCCTGGCACGGCTGGGGGCTTGTGCCCCCTCCTCCAGGGAGCCTTCAGGGTTTCCCCGCCCATTGTCGACCTGTGGGTGTCCCCGTGAGGTGCTTTCGCCGAGTGTGGCTGGGAACGTGTGGCTTTTCTGATGATCCCATCTCCCCACAGGGAGGATGAGGGAGAAGCAGCACCCACTCTTTTCTGTGCTGTGACAAACTTATTACTCTGCCAAGGGAATCGGGCCTTTGAGGGACCCACAAAGGCTGTCTGTCCCTCACATTGATGGCATAGTCACCTCTGACTCTGGTTGTCTCTGCTGCCGGGACACATTAACTGTCTATACACCTGACCTCAGCTCACGTCGGCCCTTGGAGGAGCAAGCATGGGAAGAGGGAACCCGTGGATGGGACACCCGCCAGCAGGAAGTCCTTCTGACCCTCAAACTCCAGTCTCTCCTGCTGCATTCTCGGCCTTCCCTTTCTTGCCTGGATCCCATCGAAAAGACAGATTTATTTCCCAGGCCTCAAGACGAGGCTGGTGGGGCTGCAGGCACCTGTTCAGGGCTGTTTGGATGCACTGGGCGGGGGAGCCTGGGGTCTGCGGCAGGTGCGAACTCAAGGCCTGGCCTCTGCCCATCTTCTGGAAGGCACAGAGCTGGGCGGGACATCCCCACCCCTCGCCTCCCCCATCCTGCTTTCCCGGGGCTCCGAAGGCTCCGCGGTCGGTGGGCTGACCCATTCTATCCCATTCCTCCCTCGGCCCCGGCCTCCCGCTCACCCCGCGCTCCCCGCCTCCTGCCTGCCAGTCCTGCAGACACTTCGTGAGGCCAACCAAAGACCATTAAGACAGCGATCGATGATGGCTTGAGAGCCAAGGTGGGACTTGGACTCACACTCCCGCTCCCCTACCTGCCGAGGAAAGGTAACGGACCATGCACCATTAAGTGGGGCCTGAGAGGTGCCCGGGGCCTGCACTGCACAGAACTGCCTCACTGTCTTTGCTTCAGCCCCTGCCTTTGGCCTTGGACTCTGCCTTTTAGTATCTGGAAATCTTAAAGTGGGATTCAGGAGGGAAGCGGAGAGCCAGGCCAGGGTGGGGGTGGAGGGACCAGGGGCGAGGAGGCAGGAGGCGGTAGGGTCACAGAGGCTGCGTGCAAGGGTGACTGCCCGCGGAGCACTTGGCCGCTGGGCTGGGCCGAGACAGCTCTGCTCTGCGCTGGCTGCCGCTGGCTGCCCTGGGAGAGGGAATGATACTAAGGTTTATAAAGGGCCGGAGAGCCAAGCGCTGTCACAGCCTCCGGCCACTTGCTCCTCCCTTTCCACACACAGGAAAACGTAATAATGGCTTCACTGTGAACCATGCAGAGCGTTTTGCAAGTTGTGTTTGGTAGAACTAGTGAGAGATCATCCGTGGAAACAAAGGAGTTATGTGATCAGGCAGGTCTGGCAAGGTAGAATCAAGCAGGCTCTTTCTATACTTGTGTCCTGGGCTCTCTAAGGAGCGTGGCGTGGGGTGCTGGTCCGCACGCTTACGTGTCTAAGGATTGCGGCTTTGTGGGACCCGTGCTGGGAAACGTGTGACTCCCGTGCAGGGAGTCTGGGGGAGACAGGATGGCTCCCGTCTGCCTGAGGATGAGAAGGCAGCGTGCTCAGTGGGTAGGGCTGTGGATTTTGTGGCTATGGACCCCCGGGTTGGGATCTCAGCCCTGCTGTTCATCACAGGGTGTGGGAGGATGTGGAGACTTGGGCAAGTTATCGGACCTCTCTCTACCTCAGTTTCCTCATCTGCAAAATGGAGACCAGGACCGCTCCACGGCCATAGCCCTGTTGAGGGCATTCAAAGCCTGACTTCGATGACATACTCAGAACAGCAGCACCTGGCAGGTGAGGAGGGCTCAGCATGTGAGTGTTATCACCTTGTGCAGGGTCACTCGTGGTCGTGACCCTTAATACAGCAGCACTGATCTGTGGCACACTCTGTGACTTAGCGTGGTCCCTGAATCCCAGACTCAGTGCTTGGGAGCTTTGTGGCCCTGGGCAAATTCCTAACCTCTCTGAGCCTCAATTCTCTTAGCTGTGATCCTATGAGAGCATCCGATGGAAGAGAAATGTAAACTGCTTGGCACTTGGCCGTGGTCGGTCAACAGCATTTCCTAGCTACTTCACCTCACAGGGTGAAGGTTGGTCCCCAGGCACCTTACCGGGTAAGGAAAGAAGTGGAGAAAAGGGAATAAAGAAAAGAGAAAGGTGCTGGGGGTATTCTGATGGGCGCCGTCTCTGAAGGACCGACCGCTCTGCAGGGTCTGCGGGGGAGACATCCCACTCGCCACCCTCCAGGGAGCCTCACCATCCAGCGTAGCCACAGGCTGGTCTCGCTGGCCGTGCGCAGAGACACATTGGCTGGGGCCATGTCTGGGGGTGCCTGGAGGGTCTGGATCTTTCTGGAAGGCTGACTGGGTGGGCTGGTGCCCACGATGTTCACCTGGCGCATGCGGAAGCTGAGGTGGGAGAAGAGATGAACAGGACCGGGAGGGGGATCCCCAGAGCCGAACCCTGTCCCTGTCCGGGCAGCCCTCCCTGGCCCCGGGGCTGCTGCCCTGGCCCGTCGTGTTACCTGTAGTAGGTGAAGGGGTTGAGGTCCGGCACCTCCATGGAGCGGGCATCGGGTTCGTTGGACAGCTGGTGGACGGGCAGCCACTCCTCTCCCTCCCCGACCACGCCCACCTGGAAAAGGGCGGGACCCTTAGGTCAGCAGGGCCACGAGCAGCGTGCCCTGAGCCCTAGCTCCTAGGGAGCACAAGCTCTGTCCAGGGAAGGTCTTGGTTCAGATCCCAGGCTCACTTGGGAGGCACCAAGTGGGGCCACCATCTTTCCAGGCTCCGAAACATGGCTGCTGGTGTGACTCAGACCTCCTGCACTGGAGTCTCAGAGATGGCTTGCTGCAAACACAGCACTAGGCCCTGCCCTGGACCCAAGCCCAGCAGAATCCCTGGAGGTGGTGTCCAGGAATCTGTGCTTTTAACAAGCTGCCCAGACAATTTGCCCCAACGCCCTGGGGTGCTTCTAAAGACCCAGGTAGCCCCTCAAACCAGCTCAATCTGCACCCACTGGAGGTGGGATTGAAGTGTTGACTGTGCCGATGATTCCTGGGTGCAGCCGAAGTTGAGAGCCATGGGTGCAAAGGGCACAGGCAGCAACCAGGTGTTTTTCCAGGCCAGCCAGGTACCCCACGGGCCCAGGAGGGGATTAATGTGTGTGTGTGTGTGTGTGTGTGTGTGTGTGTGTGTGTGTCTTCACACATGTAGGTGAGATGAAAGGAGAGACACTACGAGAAAGTGTGAGCATTTGGGGTCTGTCTGGCCATGACGGCTGCAAGTGAAATCCACAAGACTGAAACACACGTGCAGTTTTGCAGTCGAGGGCACGGGCTGCCCAGGCCCCAGGGCGGCTCCCCAGTAAGCCTCACCTGAGCCTCTACCAGCCAGCGGGAGATGGAGGTCTTCCCATCGTAGCCCGGCCTGAACTGCAAGGTCACGGAGCGGGGGCCGATATTGGAAATGCCCAGGTTGGTGGGGGGCCCTGGGAGTTCTGGAAAAGGAGAACAGCGTGGGAGAGGAGATCGGGTGAGAGCGGACCCCCACATCGAACAGGACTTTGGGGCGTGGAGGGGCCTGTGTGTCACACAAGTCCTGGGAAAGGTCTGGGAGAAGGAAGGCCAAGGCCTCCGCCCGCCAACATCACAACTTTGTTCCTGTGCCTTAGGGTGCATGCATGATGTTCATGCGGGTGGCTATGACAGATCTGGGGGCCGACGGGGCCCTCCAGGACCCAGAGAAAGCTCCCAGGGCCAGGAAACCTGATCGCGTACGCAGTTCGGGATGTGAGTAGATTGTCACGAGGGGGCCGGGCTGAGAAAATAAACCAAACGGGAACAACCCTTTCCCCTTCCACACACACCCTGAGGAAGGCAAGAGGGATGGGTGGGGACAGGAGGTAGCTCCTATTTTCCATCCAGTAATACTGTGGGCTCTCGGGGCTCAGGCTGAAAGAGCACAGATACCAGAGTCGAACTGTCTGAGTTTAAAGTCAGCTTCACCACTTTCAGGCTGTGTGTCTTTGAGCAAGTTACCTACCTCTCTGTGCTTCTGTGTCCTCCTCTGTCAAGTGGAGATGAAAATGACATCTCCCTCAGGAGGGTTGTTGTGAGGACTGAATGAGTTGATGTGTACAAAGCTCTAGCGCCATGCCCAGTGAACTAGCGGATATTTGTCAGTATGACTGTTACTACCACTGGCGGTCTCCGGAGCTCAGGTACTCCAGCCATCTCCAGGGGCAGGTTGAGGAGTGTTGGCCAGGTCATACAAGCATGGCCTTACTGGTCGGAACGGCACCACATGGTCATCTAGTCCAACTCCCTATCAGTCAGATGGGGAAACCGAGGCACCAAGGGGCCACTTGACTTACTCAAGGCCGCAGAGCTTGGTGGAAGCAGAGCTGAGACCAGACATCAGCCCGCTCTTTACGCCGGGCCCAAGACGATTCCCACCATGCCCTGCCACCTCTCATCAACACTTCCACAGGCTGGTGTCCAAACTGGACTTCCCGGGTGCCATGGGAATTGCTCTCCTGAATGACAGACACCATTGCCTGATGGGGAACCTGGTGTGAAATGGGTAGTGAGGGAGGGGCCAGAGGGGTAAATGAGACAGGGGTGGGGCCTCTGGGGGCCTTTGCCTCTCTGAGAGCCATGAGAAGCAGCAGCAGGAAGCCTGTGGAGACCCCGGCCGGAGGCTAGGATCATGAGAATTCAGCCTACTCTGGAGAAGGCTCTGACCCACGGGCCACGAGGGAGGGGGAGAACCTTGTGGGAATAAAGCCAATATTCCGGAAAGATGAGGGGCCTCTCGGAGGGGATGCCGCTCAGGAGAACCAGAGGCCAGGAGTCCTACCTGAAGCCACCTACCTGGAGGCACCCCAGATGAGATGGTCGAGGCGGACACCTGGCCCTGACCCTTGGAGGTCATGGCGGCCACCTCGATGGTGTAGGTGGTGAGTGCGGTGAGGCCCGTGACACGGTACTCCAGGGTCACATTGGGCAGGTAGTGGGTCACGCGGGTGTTGGTTCGGTTATACTCCTCCCAGGAGATCCGGTACCCTGGCGAGAGCCCCCAGCGGCGGCCTGAGCTTGGAGTGCCCGAAGTTGGCCTTGACCCTCGACTCCACTTCCCACTTCTCCCCTAGGTTGGCTGTCAGACCCACGGCGTGGGCAACGGGGCCCAGGGGGGTGGGAGCTGCCGGCATCATGCCCAGGGTCCCAGGCTTGGCCTCCGTCCCAACTGCTGGTGGGACTGCAGGAGGGAGAGCCATCGGGGCAGCCACCGGGTTTGCAGCCGAAGGCCTGGGGCCCGAGGCTCTGGGATGTGTTAGGGAGAGAAGGCGCCGAGAGCCTCCCTGGGGGTTTCTAACAAAGAGAGGGTTGGCTGGGAGGGTTTGCTGAAAATGAGCTCAGAGGCAGGGGATGGACAAGCTGACCTTTCCCGCCTCCGTCCTACCCTCTGGTTCACAAACTCCGCCGTACCTACCTGTGAGGATGCCGTTCTTCTCTCCGGGCTCTTGCCAGCTGACCTTCAGCGAGGTGTCCAGGATCTCACTGAAGCTTAGATGTCCCACGGGCCCAGGCACTGCATCCCCAAAGCGCCCCCCCCGCCCCCCCAACGCCAGTTAGAGCCAGAGAGAGACCGCCATGTGCACGGTGTTCCGGGGGAGACAAGACCGGGACCACCGCCTGCCCGGAGCGCCCAGCCTGGCTTTGGGTGGGGGGGGGGCGAGGGAGCAGGGGCGGGGTGCTGCCTACCATCCTCATGGGTGCGCACCAGCTGAGGGGTGCTTCGAGGCCCGTCCCCGGGGGTGGTGAAGCACAGCACGGAGGTGAGGTACTCGGTGAACTTCTTCAGGCCGGACACGAAGCCCACGTGGATGCTGTCTTGAAAGTTAGGCCGGGCGGTCACCATGGTAACCTCCTCTTCCTGCGCGGGCTCCCAGGCGATCAGCTGGGGAAAGGTCCGTCATTCAGGCAGGGTAGCAAGGAGGTTCCGGAAGAGGCCAGGCCCTTTCCCACAGGCTGAGCCCACCGACGGACTGGGTCCAGGAGCCCAGGTCCCTGGGGTGACTCCTCCCAGAAAAGGGACAGGCCGTGCAGGGGACCCACAGGCCACTGGAGTTCACTGTGGTGTGCTTCTCCACTTCTGGAGCCACTGAGCCCGTCCAGAGCACCGTGCAGAAGGCTTTCCCCGAGTCTCACGGGAGGCATTGTACCAGGACCGGCTCGGTGCACAGTGAAAATGGGGGATCCCCTTGTTTGAACATTATTCGGAATTTCAAGATGACAGCAGTAGAGCACTGAACCAAGCCCAGGGCCCTGGATGAGAGCACACATTACACAACCACGAAGAGCCGGCCCTGGGTTTTACAGATGAGGAAACTCAGGCTCAGAGAGGCTGAGTCGCTCACACTGTATCACACAGCTGGCATGAGCTGGGCGTTTGCCCTGGAGATCTCCGAGGGTCATTGCCTATGGAGCAGGGAGCTTTAGTTTGTGGGTATCTGTTATCCTCTGACACACCTTCCAAGTTGGGACTTCAGGCTTAAACACCGCCTAGAGGTGGGGCTTCAGCGAGAAAGCCCCATCTGGATCCCCATCACTTTCTCTCCAGTCTCCGCTGCTCACACCCCACTGCCAGTCGCCTACGCCCTGCTTCCCTCCCGCCTTCTCGCCCTCTCACCTCGCGCTCCGGCTTCCTGGGCCTGTCATCTGTCTCCAGCAGTGACAGCTGGCTTCAGAGATTTCCTCATTTATTTGAAGTTGATTAAATAGCAATTAATGGTGAAAAGCAACACTTGATGGGTTTTAATAAGTACGAGTATTTATAGATATAAAACAATACCGTGCCAATGTCTCCCGATTAACTCACGCCTGTGACAATGCTTAATCTTCTGCTTTTCATGGCCGTGTGTTTATAAAGGCTGTTTTGAAATTTAATTGGTATTGTGGAAAGATAGCCTATAGCAAGTTAATTAGACACTAATTAGGCCCTAAAAATACTAAACAGAAATACTAAGTGGCATTTAATAAGTATGTTAAATATCCTCCTTATTTTGGTTATCTTGTTTCATAGCAATTAAATTGCCCAACTTCTTTGGAGTAGATTAAGAAACAAGTTTAATGTTTTAATTTAATTTAATTAATGTAAATTTGAATTAATTATGCTGTTAGAATTAATTGTGTGGTGTGTTCCCCAGCAAGCGTAAAATCTGGGTAAATATTATTTTATTGGACTTAGGCCAATTACAATCACTACCATTTTCTAAAAAAAACAAAGGAGAAAGTCTTTATAGGCATCTTAAGACAGCATCACCGGGCCTTGCCCACAAAAAGGACCCTGAAAAAGTGCACAGGGTAGTGGGTTGTGGGGTCAGGATATTGACTTCATCGTCCTATGGTTCCACACTCCACACCTGGAGCCCAAGATGCAGCAGGGCCATGGCTTTCTGTGGCCTCTTCAGAGGATTCACTCTGGATGTGAGTCACTTGGCCTTCTCTTGCACCTGAAGAAGAGGAGGCTGAGAGATGAGAGGCCTTCCTCTCAGGGACAGGGAGAGATCGGAGAACGCCTTTTGTATTATCTATTGCCCCGAAGGGGTTGGTCTCTGGCCGTCGACGGAAACTCAGTGCTCAGGTAAACCACATCAGGGCTTCGGTCTGCTGAGCTCTGCCTATGTGTCTAAAGCTGGTGTAAGTCCATCCCTGACCAGTCCCGTTCGTTCATAACAATGAAGAGCAGATGGACATCTCTGCCCTACGCCGTCACAGAAAAGTAAGCCGAGATTCAGGAAGGCTGAGGACCTCACACATGGACCCACCAGGAGCTGGCGCCAGATGTGTGGACCCTGAGACCTTCGTGATGACCTCTGCCTCTCGCAGGGACACAGACTGGGCGAGGCTTGAGGGCTTCTTGGTGATGTCTTGGGGCCCTCTCCTCATTAGTTGGGGTCAGTGTCGATGAGCCCTGTTCGGACCTTGGTCTCAGATTTGGAGAAGACTGAGCTCCCCTGAGCAGGGCTGGGGTGTGTTCTGGGGAATGAGCACAGACCCGGGTTCCTGGGACACGCCATTTCCCCTTAGAGAGCAGAGGACCTCGTGCCTGAGCGGTGGGGTTGCCGGTGGCGGGGGTGGAGGCACAGACTGCGCAGCCAGCGTGGAGAAGGAGGGCGCAGTCAGTAGTCCGCAGTCCGTAGTCTGCACCCTTGAACCTGAGCCCAGCTCTGTCACTTAACATGTGACCCAGGGAAAGTTACCAACCTCTCTGAGCCTCAGGCAGTTCTAGGGGACAGTCATCACGGTCTCGCAGGGTTGCAAGGAGCAGACAAGTAACGTGCTCCCGTCCCTGGTGGGGACCATACTTCACAGGGCTTGGAGTGTGGGGTGGGTGTGCGGCCTCCCACCGCTGGAGAGACATAAAGGGAGGAGACACTTTCCCTCTCCATCTCCCCTCTTCGATCTCTCTACCTCTTTTCACATGCGTGGGTTCACACACAACAACATGGAAAGACGTGTAAGAAACCCATGGCAGTGGCTATTAGAGTGGGGGGAGTTTAGAACCAGGCAGATGGGAAATTGGGGCGAGCCAGAGGCTTTCTGCTATATGTTTATTATTTTTCATTCTTTGAATCTTATAAATATATTTTGTTTAACAGTTAAATAAAAAATAAATCAAACAAGAGGTACTTGAAAATAGTAGAAAAATGTCAGACACATTTATGCTTTGACTCAACAATTTCATTTCTAGAAATCTAGTCCAAAGCTATACTGAGAAAATAGAACTGTATGCACAAAGCCACTCACTGCAGAAAGGATGTTTGTAGTAGTCAAAGGCTGGAAACAATCAAAATGTTATCACTAGGGGGCTGGCTGACTAAACTATGGGAGGTCACACGATGGCATATGATACAGGTGTAAACAGGAGCAAGAAATGTCTCTACACACTTCTACTGGCTGATCGCCAGGTTATATTGCAAAACAATAAGAAGAAAAAGAAGCAAGGTTCAGAGAGTGTGGAAAGCACATCATCTTTCTTTCTTGTTTTGTTTTTTTAAATGAAAACCATTTATTTAGCTCACACTTTTTTTTCTGAGTCAAAGTCTCACTCTGTCACCCAGGCTGGAGTGCAGTGGCATGCTCCCGGTCCCTGCAGCCTCAACCTGCTGGGCTCAGGCAATTCTTCTGCCTCAGCCTTCCAGGTAGCCGGAACTAGAGGCATGCACTACCACGCCTGGCTAATTTTTTGATTTATTGTAGAGACAAGGTCTCACCAAGTTGCCCAGTCTGGTCTCAAGCCTGCGGGCTCAGGCAATCCTCTTGCCTCAGCCTCCCAGAGTGCTGGGATTATAGACTTGAGCCACTGCACCCAGTCCACATCATCATCTTTCTAACAAGGAGAGGTTGTGCATTATGGAGCACATTCAGCCATGCCTCGGATTACATGAGGGTGGGGGAGGGGAACTGGTACCCAAACCCACAGATGCTCAAGTCCCTGATAGAGAATGGGTAGTATTTGCAGAGAACCTACATACATCCTCTGGTGTACTTAACTTTTCTCTGGATTACTTCTTGATAATATCGGATACAATGTAACTACTGTGTAAATCGTTGTTATACTGCATTGTTTAGGGAATAACAACAAGAAAAAACAGTCTGTACATATTCAGTACAGGCATGATTTCTTTTTGAATGTTTTTTATCTGAAGTGGGTTGAATCCATGAATGTGGAACCCATGCCATGGATAAGACAGCCCTGCTCCATTTGTGTATATAATAAAATGGAAGGAAAAAACCAAACCAAACAACCAAACAAAAAGCAATCGAACTCATGCTTTAAGCAAGAGGCCCAGGGTTCAAGCTGATTTTCCCCGCATTGGTTTTGTAGACCTGAGTTTGGAATCATGTAAATATTCTACATAATTATTGAACAAAATAAAACTAAAAAATCAATCCCTAAAAACTGAAAGAAAAAAAATGAAGCAAATGAACTGAACAGAGTATTGGAGTTGCAGCAAAATTATGGAGAGTGAAACAATTTCAAAAGACTTTGCAGCACGATGATGTGAAGTGCATCCCTAGAGGGATACACTTAAGAACAAAATGAACTGTAAATAATTGGAAACTGTTTTCAGTAATCATAGTGTTGATAGTAATCTCAAACTGTTGTGTGTCTTTGTGGGATAAAGCAGGTGGGTAAATATATTGGCGTATAAACTGGATTTTCAGCATGGAGAAAAGAGATACAGACAGAAGACCAATGAGTTTATGAAAAAGTGTATAAGTTGTGAAATGGAATAGAAAGTATCTGTATCTATTTTATCTTTAAAAAAGGATTTCCTAGTTATCCATTAATAGAACCTAGAAACAGCAACAATTCCTGGAGTGAGGAGCACCTTGAGTGACCAGATTATGGTATCTAACTCTCATTTCCTAGTAAGAGGAACAAGAGCTCCTAGAAGAATTGGCTGGTCCCTGGCACAGTTTAGGGAATATGTATATGTAGTTTACAACTTCTTGCCATACCAGATTGCAAGGAAGTTGTCAGAGACTACTGGGACCATGTCAAGAGGACTCTTCAATCAAGTTGAAGAGGCCAATGATGGGTCGAATTTGGCATCAATAATAATGGGCCTGGGGGTGGTGGTTTATACTTGTAGTCCTATCGTTTTGGGAGGCAGGGGTGGGAGAATTGCTTGAGCCTAGGAGGACAAGGCTGCACTGAGCTATGATTGGACCAATGCACACCAGCCTGGGCGACAGCACGAGACCCTGTCTTTACAAAAATTAAAATGAAAAATATCATAGGATAAAAAAGAATAATAATGGTAGTGAATTGAAACATATCAGATGTGTTTTTTTTTAAAAATCCTTAGGTATAATAGTATAACCCAAACCAAAACAAAGGAACTGATTCATTATCCAGAGAATTGGCAACAAAAAGAAACAAACTGAGCATTTACCCTGCTTTTCTGAGATGAACTGAACCTTCAGGAAACTAAAAAGTTGACAGAAGGAAAATTTTTTTTTAAAAAAGCATTTCAGCTAATAAATCAAGAAGAAATGACAATATCTGCCTACCCTCATTGTATAGTCCTTACTGGAATAATAGCTCCAGACACAAGGACTGTCTGGTCGACACCACAGTGAGAGGGAGACAGCCGGATTTTGTGCCTTCTCAATGCCATCGAGGAAGTAATATTTTGAAAAGCAAAAATCATCAAACCTGAGTCTGATTAGCCTCTAGCTTTAAGTTCCAATTTACTGCAAATACAGTGTTCAGAGGTATGTGCTCAATGACCCCGCAGGGATGCAATCAGCAAAATCCAGACTGTGGAAAATTCTCTAGGACAAATGACTAAGTTTCCTCACCAAATAAATTACATGGAAAAAAAAAGGGGAGAGCAGAAGAGAAAATCTACAGATCAACCGAGACCTAAAAAAACCCCCAACCAACGACCATTGCATGAGCTTCATTTAGATCCTAAAGCAAGTAAACCAACGAGTAACAGAAATTATGTGGCCATCAAGGCAATCTGAAGGCTGACTGGATATCCGATGATATGAAAGGCACTGTTGATATTTTTAGGCATGATAATGATAATGTGGCTATTGTGGTCTTGTTTTAAATAGCGACCTCATCTATACTATTTCTCTGTGGAAACATTTACGGATGAAATGATACAGAGCCTAGAATTTGCTTCAAAATATTCCAGGGAAGTACTGAAAAAAAAATTGTCTTTTTTATAATTCGATTATTTTATAATTAAGAATATAATATTCTTTCCTTCCTTCCTTCCTTCCTTCCTTCCTTCCTTCCTTCCTTCCTTCCTTCTCTCTCTCTCTCTCTCTCTCTCTCTCTCTATCTCTTTCTTTCTTTTGAGTCTGGGTCTTATTCTGTCACCCAGGCCGGAGTGCAGTGGCACAATCACAGCTCACCAAAGCCGAGTAGCTGGGACTCCAGGCATGCACCACCCCAACCGGGCTAATTTAAAAAGATTTTTTTTTTTGTAGAGATGAGTTCTTGCTATGTTCTCAGGCTAGGGATGGCTTTCTTTTTAATGTAAGGAAAGGTGCAGGCTCTGGTTTGAATCTGAGTTTTGCTTTGACCTTGTCACTTTGTGTGACCTTGAATGGGTGACTTCCCTCTCATGCCTCAGTTTCTTTCTCCATTACATGGGGTGACGAAAATAATGCTTACTTCTTAGGGAGCTTGTGCCACTTGCACGAGACAAGAGCCTATGTGGAGCGTTGAGCATGCTGCCTGGCATGGAGAAAGTGCCCCAGAAGTGTGAGCTTTCCTTACTCTTCCCCTGGCTCCTGTGGTCAAAACATCTGGGTAATTAATTCCTGCTGACCTTCATGGAGCAGCTACTGGGGGGCTGGGAACCCACAGGACCTGGGAACCTGGTGGCCTCCGCAGTCTCCTTCTGCTCTGGTTCACCATGGGCCATTACCCTAACTGTCCTGGCCACTGGCTGGCCTTCCTGGCCCTTGGGGGGCTGTTTGCCTTCCAAGTTTGTAGCTCAGCCCTCCCACATGTAGAATAAAACTGCTGCTTGGAATTGGCAGCAGGAGGATATCTCCCTGTTCCCAACCCAGCTCCTCTGCTCCTCAAAATGCTGGCCTCCCATCCCTCCCTGCCTCCCCCCAGAGTCCCAATTAGGAGACTTCTAGCCAGCGAGTGCGCTGAGCATTCAGCTGTAGCTCCCTGCCCAGGAAAGTGCTGCCTGGCCTTGGGTTCGCCGCCTTTCCTGGAGTGACGGCACCAGGGCTGGGGTGGATCTGGGATGGACCTGGCCCTGGACCATCCCTCCTTTCTTTGCTTGAAACATCGGCAGAAATTCTCTTGGTGATCCAATCCCCGGCCCTTCCTGTCCAGCCTCCTCCAACATGGAGGAAGGAGGGCTGAGTCCTAGAATTAATCTCGGTGGTGGTAAGCATGGTGCAGAGGGGTCACCAGATCCCTGGGCTCAAGCCCTGCTGCACTTTTCCCTTCACAGCTGGCTTCCCCTCAGATGCCTCCATTCCCACATCTGGAGGGAGCGGACGGCACTCTGCCATCTGCTCCCCGTTGCTGGGACAGGCACTACCCCTTGAAAACAGGGTCGAACTCTCACTCTGTGATCTGTCTTCTGTTCCCTTAGGGAAGGCCTCACAAGACTGGAATGAGAGGAGAGACCCAGGCCCGGGGCCCAGAGTCTACGATACAAGTCAGGATGGCTGAAAAGTCCTGGCGTTTAGCATAGTGACGATTACAGCATACATGCTACCACTACGACGACTGCTATTACTATTATTATTTGCTGTGGGCTATGTCCCTGCAAATTTAATATGATGAAGCTCTAACTTCCAGTTCCTCAGAATATGACTGCATTTGGGGACCTTTACAGAGTTAATTAAAGTTAAATGAGGTCATTGGGGTAAGTCTGAACCCAGTATGCTGGGTGTTCTTATAAGAAGAGGACATTTGGATGCAGACACAGAGATAAGATGGACATCTACAAGCCAAGGAGAGAAGCCTCAGAGGAACCAACCCTGTCTTGACCTTGTACTTCCATCCCTTAGAACTGTGAGAAAAGACCTTCCCTCCCTCCCTCCCTCCGTCCCACCCTCCCTCCTTTCTTTCCTTCTCCCCTCTTTCCTTCCTCTCTGTCACCCAGGCTGGAGTACAGAGGCATGATCTTGGCTCAGCACAGCTTCTACCTCCCGGGCTCAGGCGATCCTTCTGCCTCAACCTCCTGAGTAGCTGGGACTACAGATGCGTGCCACCATGCTCAGCTGATTTTTTGATTTGTTGTAGAGATGAGGTCTCACTATGTTGCTCAGGCTGGCCTTGAAATCCTGGGCTCAAGCAATCCTCCCCGACCTCCCAAAGTGCTGGGATCCCAGGAGCGAGAAACCACACCTAGCCAGAAAATACATTTCTGATACTGAAGCCACCCAGGCTTACGGTGGCACTTACGGCGGCCTAGCAAATGCACGCACCACCACCACTACTACTAAAATCATTTCTGAAGGCTGATTATGTGTTCGTCATCGTGCTGAATAAATGACAAATATTCCCCTATTTCATCCTCACACAACCCTAAGAAGCAGGTATTACTCCATCTTCACCTGTGCACAGAGTAGGTGCTCAGTAAATATTGATCAAAGGGCTGAAGCTCAAACGTGCTAAAGAACGTGTCCAGGCAGCCAACAAGAGCAGAGCTGGGCTTTAACCCAAATCTGTCTGAGCCCAATCTTGGGCTCTTCACCACACACTTTGTGGGGTCAAGTACAGTCCGAGAAGACACTTCCAAGCAGGAGGCCTGTTAGAGCCAGGATGAGGTGATAAGAAGTGGATACAGGGCTTTTCGGCTGGGGCCATGGCTACCCTCAGGTTTCCCGGACCCGAAATAAGCTGGGTTTTGTTTACAACCCACGCTAAAAAGGTTCTGGGCCGCCGTCCCCATGGTCTGTGTGTGGCCTTGGAGAAAGCCCGTGTGCCTCTGTGTCTGTCATGTGTTCTGGGCCTGGCTCAAGCCGATGATTTCAGAAGCAGGTGGGGATTCCCTCCCGCCCCTGCCCTCACCTTCCCCCCACCCCACAGCCGCCTTCATCCCACAGAGAAGCTGCCTCCTCTTGGGCCAGGCGAGGCCCCACGTACCTTGTAGCCCTGGTTGATGCCGTTGATGAACTGGGGGCTGGGGGCGTTCCAGGTGAAGCGAATGGTGGTAGAATTGGTGGCTTCCGCGTGCACGTTGCCCGGAGGGACCGTGGGGACTAGAGGAGAGCAGAGAACAGGGTGGGGTGCAGAGCTCTGTGGGTGTCCCTTGCCCAGTTCAGCAGGGAAAACACAGACCTCCCCACTGCCCCCTCACTGTGTAGACTTAAGATGACCTCTTACTGTCTCTGGTTTCGTTTGGGCTTGGTAACACTTGAACCACCCTCTCACAGGGGTCCGGTAAATAAAAGCAATGGAAATGAAAAATGCTTGGGATGGCTCTCAGGTGCAACAGCCCATGTAGGTTTTTTCATGATTCAGTTAACGTGAACTTTGCAGAAGGTCCCCAGATGCCCGAAGGCCCTGGCTCTCACCAAGCCAGCCGGGCCAAACCAACCCCATCTTCATCTTCCCCTCAGTCCGTACACCCTGTGGGGTAGGTGGGCACCAGGTGGTGGCTCCAGCCTCACAGTGCAATAGCGGGGCCTGCTGAGCACAGGACACACGGGCCGTGGTTCTCAGGACTGGGTCGGCAAGGGGCCCGACAGGCACGGAGCATGCCAGGCACAAGGTCCAACAGGCAAAGGACGCGGCAGGTACATGGCCCCACTGGCCACAAGGCCTGATAGGAATGGGGCCCGACAGGCCAAGAGCCTGGCAGGTACAGGGCCTGACAGGCCAAAGGTGGGACAGGCAAACGGCCCGACGACGGGCAAAGGGCCCAACAGGCAAAGGGCCCGACCAGCCTGGGATCCAGGAAAAAGGGAAGCACCTACTGGTCTGAGGACAGTCTCTACCCACCTCCCTGCAGTGTCCACTCGGTGACTTTGCTGCTGTAGACACCTAACCCGGCACTGTTGTAGGCGGCCACCTCGATCTCGTAGTTGGTCCAGATGATGAGATCTTCTAGCAGCAGGTTGTTGACATCAGCATCTGTGATGTTTTTAAACTGGTACCCAACAGGCAGTCCAGCTAGGCAGTATCTGAGGGGAAGGTGGGGGGGGGGTGCAGAGGATTCAGACTCAGCTCACCAGGGCATTCTTTAAAGGTCAGCAGAACTTTCCACGATGGTGGAACGCTTTGCATTTGTGCTGCCTAACAGGATGGTCGCTAGTGCATGCAGTTGTTAGCGCAATTAAGGAACTGCATTTGAGTTTGATTTATTATTCATTTGTTTGCTTGCTTATTTGTTTGAGTCAGGGTATCACTCTGTCTTCCAGGCTGAAGTACAGTGGCACAATCACGGCTCACCACAACCTTTACCTCCTGGGCTCAGGTGATCCCTCTGCCTCAGTCTGCCTAGTAGCTGGGACTACAGGCATACACCACCATGCCTGGCTAATTTTTTGAATTTTTTTGTAGAGATGAAGTCTCACTATGTTACCCAGGCTGGTCTCGAACTCCTGGCTTCGAGCACTCCTCCCACCTTGGCCTCCCAAAATGGTGTGATTACAGGTGTGAGCCACTGCACCTGGCCTGATTTATTTTTAACTACAGTTGACCCTTGAACAGCATGGGATTAAACTATATAGGTCCTCTTTGATGCTGATTTTTTTTCAATAAATATAGGAACTTTTTGGGAAATTTGCGACGATTTAAAAAAACTCATGGATGAACCACATAGTCTAGAAACACTGAAAAAAATTAAGAAAAAGGTATGTCATCATTGCTTAAAATATACATGTTAATCGACTGCTTATGGTATTGGTAAGGCTTCTGGTCAACAGTGGCTGTTAGTAGTTACATTTTTGGGGGAGTCGAAAGTTATATGTAGGTTTTTCAACTGCTTGAGGGGTTGGATCCCACAAGCATCGCATTGGTCAAGGGTCAACTGCGGTTTAAATAGCTAGGGGTGACTAATGGCTACCTTACTAGATAGTGCAGGTCTAGGAATGTGTCTGGACTATTCTTTTTGACAGGGAAGAACAGGATGGGCCGACTAACCGGGGACACTGAGAGTCCTTGGGGCAGCTCTCACAGGTCTCGAGAGGTCATTGACGGGGAGTAGTCCCTGAAGGTCAGGCTCATTTTCTTTCTCCCTCTGGTTAGTCACTCATGCAGGTGGACTGAAATGCCTGGGATTGTCTACTCTACCTGTTTCTACCTCCACTGGGAAAAAGGACGCAAGATACTGAAATGGGATCTGTACAAGTAAATTTGGGGGCATTATATATATGGAAGATGGATAACTCATTGGGAACCGCGGTGCGTGCAGACCTTAGAGTCTAACTATTGGAAAATGAGGAACCCCAAAGGATGCTGATGAATCACGATCCTAGAGTAGTGGTTCTCTAAACCTTCGTGTACACCACCATCTCCTGGAAGACTTTTACAAACGAAGACTGCTGGACCGGTCCCACAATGTTTCTAGTTCCATAGGTCTTGGATGAGACTTGAGAATTTGCATTTCTGACTAGCTCTCAGATTAGGCTGACGCTGTTAGTTCAGGGACCACACTTTGAGAACCACTCCCCTTCAGGGTTTACCAAAAACCTGTAACAAAATCAACTGATAATGGGGCCGTCAAGTCAATGATCATGCCTTCCACGTTTGGAGAATTCCAACGCTGTGAGGTGCACATGGGTAGGAACGAGACATGAAGTTGCCTAGCATTTTGCAACCAGAGGGAATCTGGAATATCGATGACACTTCTCAGTAACTTCAAATACCATGATGATTTGAGTTCATGAATATCGCATTTTAGTGATCCTTTATAGCCCTCTTCTGGGTCACTAGCAAAGTAGCAAAATGAGCTTCATTTTCCAGTAGGCGCCAAAGAAATTTCACTTTTCTTTCTTTTTCTTTTTTTGTGAGCTGGGATCTCACTCTGTCACCCAGTCTAAAGAGCTGTGGCAGGATCATGGCTCACCATAGCCTCAACCTCCTGGGCTCAAGCGATCCTTCCACCTCAGCCTCTTGAGTAGCTGAGACTACAAGCATGTGTCACCACACCTGGTGAATTTTTGCTTTTTTTTTTGGTAGAGAGGAGGTCTCGCTATGTTGCCCAGGTTGGTCTCAAACTCCTGGCCTCAAGCAATCCTCCTGCCTCTGCCTCCCAAAGTGCTGGCTAGCAGGTGGGAGCCACCATGCTCAGCCAGAACTTCCATTTTTTCAACTAATTCTTCACCTGTTGGCTTCTCCACGCATGATCTATCTTGAGAGGAATCTGTCTGCAAAGTCCTATCCTTGGTGTCCCAGGTGGCTGGCCCCGTGAGTAGTTACCCCTTTCTTCCATCTCCCTGCAGGCCTAGTCCCACATCAGTCCTGACCTACGGCCGGCTTGCCCTCCCCTGTAGCCTTCTGGTGATCACACAGTAGCTCCTCTCTCAACCATGCCTGCTGGGTTTCCAGGCTCTCCCTGCCGGAAGTTCCTTCTAGGTGCCCAGCCTAAATTCTTCCTCCCATGGTCCAGGCGTTTCTAGTCTCCCGGTCCTTGTCAGATGGTTTCCTAACCCACTCCTGCTCCTGCCCCACCCCTTCCCTTGAGCTGGGGCTCCTGTCCCCAGGGTGGGGGACACCTACCTGATGACGTAGCCCTTGAGGAGTCCGTTCTGGTGGCTCTCTGGAGGCGGCTGCCACTGGATCATGATGGACTGATTGGTCCGGCCACTGGCAATGACATTCTGGGGCGGGGCCGTGGGGGGCTCCTCGGGGAGGGAGATCCTGGATCAGAGAACAATGTTCTTATTCTTGGGGGGAAACGCAGGAGTTTAACGGGATACGGGGAGGCCAAACCCTGCCCTACTCTGTCCTCCGTGAGGTTCTGCACCATTGTTGTGTGTTTTCCGGCAAGCCACTCAGCCTCTCTGAGCTTGTTTTTGTCAAGGGATTACAGTAAAGCCCTACCTGTCTGCCTGACAAGACTGGTTGTGGCTCAAATGATACAGTGTGTGTATGTCTTTTAAAAAACACCATAAGGCAACAAAAGTGTCTATTTTTTGGGTGCAGGTATGGGGTATGGGCCTCGGTTTCCCGCTTGTCAAAGAAGCCACTTTGGGGGGCCACTGAGGTCACAAGTGTTCAAGTGTTTTGAAGGGGGTGTTAAGCAGCCAGGCCCCAGTCGCCCGCTGGTGGTGAGCTTTAACGAGGCCTCCCTTCCTGGCCAGCGAACCCGGGCCAGGAGCAGGGCGGGCATGGGGTGTGGGTGAGACAGCCACGAGCAGCCACTCGCCTGCAGGAGCCACACGCTGTGGCATTCCTCCCCCGGCATCGCTGGGGGACGGGGTGTTCTGTCTCAGAGTATTTTTCACATCACTGACATGTATCCATTAGAAACAAAAGTTAATTATTTTTGATGGATGTCTTTTCCTTTTTGTTGATTTTGATGTTTGCGCTTTCTGATGGATAGCTTTCCAAAGCACACCACGCACTCCTGTGTTTTTGCAACGGCTGCAGTAAGGGGGCTGGACTTCTTCTTGGTGACTCCAGAGGCTGTTAGGATGAAGACTCACTGGGAAGAAGGATCCGTCCACACAGCACAGGGCAGGGCAGGAGAGGTTGCAGGGTGGCTTCCCCCGCACTTTGAGTCTCTCTGTTATTGGCATCTTGTGCTTCCAGGTGGGCTGGGTCTGTTCATCTGGTCACTTCCTGTCCTACCTCTAGAGGTCCAAGTGTGGCCTGGTATACAGTAGGTGCTCAATAAGCAGTGAGTAAATGCATTCTCCTGTACCCACTCTCCATGCTGGGCTGTCACCTACGGCCGGCTTGCCCTTCTCCGTAGCCCTCTGGCGATCACACAGTAGCTCCTCTCTCAACCATGCCTGCTGGGTTTCCAGGCTCTCCCTGCCGGAAGTTCCCTCTAGGTGCCCAGCCTAAATTCTTCCTCCCACGGTCCAGGCGTTTCTAGTCTCCTTGTCAGATGGAGGAGGGCCTGCCGCGAATCTGCAGTTTCCTAACCCACTCCTGTTCCTCCCCCACCCCTTCCCTTGAGCTGGGGCTCCTATCCCCAGGGTGGGGGACACCTAGAGGGAACTGCTCCCCACCGTGAGTGTCTTGACCCCAGCGGTATCACCCTGGTGAAAGCTAGAGAGACCCAGGCTTACTGGAACTGTGGCAAAACCACAGTGATTGATTTAAGACGGGGTCTTCTCATAGGCACCTAAAAAAGAGCCCAGAGACAGTGTTGGTGTCTGTGATGTGTCACCCTGACCTCTCGCACGATGGCTCCTTTCCCAGGAAAGGTTCTCCCCGGCTGGGGTGGAAAGAATTCGCCTTCTGCACACATGGGTATCACAGTGGGATGTTTCGAGACGGATTACCGGCTGTTTTTATTCTATTTCCATCATTTTCTAAAAGCGTTGTGGGCTCCCCAGACTGGCCTGGCACCGTGCAGAGTGCTGGCTGTGGGGCTCTGTGGAGTCCTGGCACCCTCGGCAGCTTCTCGTCCGCTCAGTGAGGCTGCAGCCATTGGAGCGTGGAGAGCTGAGGTGAAGCTTTGAACTTGCACGGCTCATAATTTCGGGAATGGTGCCTTTGGTCAGTGCTCACCCCGTGCTCCTGTGCTTTACCTACCTGCGTCCTCTCATTCCACCATTAAAACACTCCCAGAACTGTGAGTCCACTTCTACAGAGGAGAGGCTGAAGACCAGTGGGGCAGAGACACGGAGCCCAAAGCCCACCACGGCGGCTCAGGTGCAGCCCCACCCCCAGCTGGAGTCCCCGAGAGGCCCCCGGAAGAGTAGCCACTGCCCTCACCTCTCTGTATCCTTGCTGAACTGTCCCTTCCCCACATCGTTGACAGCACAAAGACGGAACTGGTAGGAGCGGGCGGGAACCAAGCCCTTGACCGTCACCGAGGTGGCTTCGGGGTCCACACTGGCTAAGAGGATGGTCCAGGGGGCATCTGCAGGGGCAGAGAATGGAGGCAGAAGTGGGCATCTTGGGGTGAACAGAGCATGTTTCTCACTCCCCACTCCCAGCAGGGGTCCCGCCTCATTGATGCTGGCAAGGGGGACCTCCCTGGCTTGTTCCAGGAGGCCCGCCCTGTTATTCTTCTAGGTCCCATGAGCCCGTGTGACCCTGGGGCATGGGACTGAAGGGTACTGGGAGGAAGCAAGGTCTCATGGGAATGCATCTCTCACGAGATGCATTCATCTTTTCCACCCTCAAATTGATGAGTTCTTGGTGAACCGTGTTTAAAACACGGTTCAGATTATGCCTGCTTATTTTAGAGTTCACAGCTCTGGGACTTGGAGATTTAAAAAACAAAATAAATAAAAATAGAGTGGGCAAATGCCTGTTATCTCAGCACTTTCGAAGGCCGAAGCGGGAGGACGGTTTGAGCCCAGGAGTTTGAGACCAGCCTGGGCAGCATAGCTAGACCCCATCTCTATTTTTTTTTTTTTTTTTGAGTTGGAGTCTCACTCTGTCGCCCAGACTGGAGTGCAGTGGCCGCTCCCGGCCACCGCAGCCTCGACCTGCTGGGCTCCGGCGATCCTTCCGCCTCAGCCTTCCAAGTAGCTGGAACTACAGGTGCGTGCTACCACGCCCCGCTAATTTTTGATTTATTGTAGAGATGAGGTCTCGCCTGCCCAGGTGGGTCTCGAACCC